GCAATGTTGGGAAGATCCAAGGAGCGCGATGCAACCGCGGGAGTTCCACATTTCAAACGCCCCGAGTAGATAAGATTATTGGAAATTAGCATAATATCCTCGCACATGCGATATTGGTGCTCAAGATTAACCACCGATTCAGGATGAGCGTCAGAAAGGAGCTTGAACAGGCTGACATCGAGTCCTCCCTCTTGGGCTTCCTTGTTTTGCACCAAAGGTGGCAATTGGTAATGGTCCCCAACGAGGATGAATGTTCGCGCCATTCGAATGGGCCCTAAGCATACCGGAAGAGTGATTTGCGAGGCCTCGTCAACAATGCAATAGTCGAATATGCGTCTATTGAAGATATTGTGGTTGACCCCAAGACAAGTCGTCGCGACTACCTGCGACTCTTCGTATGATGCTTTCAGCTCTTCGACGGTGGATTTAGGGACTGCCGCGAGATCGACGAATTCCCGTACTTCAGGATGCACCTTTGCAGTAGCTCCTATTCGCAGGATGCGGATATTGTCGTCCCGGATTTTTAGAAGAATATTATCAACTGCGGTGTGGGTGTATGAGGTCAGGAGAACACTCTTTCCTTGCGCCACCAATGCTCGAATGATATGGGCGATGGTTGTTGTCTTCCCTGTGCCGGGCATACCAAGGACTAGCGCATAATCTCGCGCGCTCATGACCTTGTCGATGGCTCTTTTCTGATCGACATTCAGGCTTGCTTTAGCGGAGTCAGACATCGGAAAAGCTGATGGTGAGGGCTTGAAATTGGGTGTTTCTCCTTCAACTATGAGCTTTCTGAGCCGATTTGCTTGAAATAGGTCCTTTTCCATCATGGAAATGAGATTGTTTCGAACGATTGCCATGCCATTGCTGAATTCGTCCTTATCCAGTCGGTACACAACCTCCTCCTCCGGTTCGTTAGAAAAAGGAGTTGAAGGGGAGGAGCTATCTTCCAGTACTTCCATGATGCCTCGGAATGATTGGTTCTTCTTAGCCTCAAATCCCTTTGTCTTGGTTCTGGCATTGTGCAATCTCCGGTCGACTGCGACCATTATGTGTTTTGGGCTGACTTGCACAACGTATCCGTTGGCGAGCGCAAAGTGACCTTGCTCATCAGATACAACGATTGGCTCTCCCACCGTCAGCTGAGATTCGGTGAAAGAGAACGAAGGCACGGAATGCTTCTTGACAAAGGTATATCTAAAGCGATTAATCTTTGTGCTCTCTTTGTCCTCGTATGCGGACCCTGGTTGAATCACAACATTGCCAAAGCAACGCCCGAGAGCCTCTCGCTCACTGCTCAACAAGGTCCAAAGTTCTCGCTTGAATCGCATCATGCTCTGCTCCTCCTTCGTCAGCAAATCGTCCCATTTTTTAAAAAAATCTCGATGCTGGGGTGTCAAATAGTCCATAGCCTTGACGAATTCATCACCAAGTCCGCTAGTTTCGCCATCTCCGTCGTCCGCAAGCTTATGATAGATCAAGCAAGGCGTCTTTGAGTAACATCTGCTGCACATTCCCGGTTTCTTCACCATCGGTGGAAGTTGGTGTCTTTCACGGACAAAACCCGCCAGGCGGTTACGTTCCTGGATCATTTGCAAGAGCTCATGTCTGATACCACGGATACGGAATATCTTAGATATCTCAAGATAGTAGAGTAGACCGAAAGTTACGTCAACGTCTTGAAAGCGTAGCATTAGTGAGACAAGGTACGGAGCATAATTGCGGCTGGAAAGCTTACCGTAGCGATCAGAAAGCAACAAGGTATAGAGGGCAGTCTGAGCCCTGTGTGCCTGATTTGTATCTCTGTTGCCCGTCTTGAGCTCCAGAGGGACAACCAGATTTCTGTTGCCCTCCCCGTCATTGCATGCAACTTGGACTGTAGCGTCAATATTGCCTTTGAGCCCATACATTGGAGACCATATGTGCTCCTCCACCTCAAGCAGCTTATTGATGCTCAAATTGACCTTGGAGCTATGCCGATCTTCAACAACAGATTCGGCCTGGGGAAGCAGTTACTAATCAAAGCATCTCAATTGCTGCAGGATGCACTTACACTCGGAGTAGTTCGAAGAAAGATTTCTGCCCAGGCTTTCAAAGCTGGGACTTTGCTCATCATATACTCGATGGCTTCCGGAATGCTCATTTCGATCAAGTATAAATCCTCAACATGTTTGACAAGAATAGCTTCTACCAGAGCCCTCAAAGAACTCAGGTCCCATTTGTTGACTTTCATAGCTTCCTGAAAGAGCTCATGAAAGATATTTCCGAACACCTGAGGCTTGCTAATATCGCTTGAATTCTTGATACGGTCCTGGAGAACTGCTCTTCGCTGGCAACTGATGGAGTCTGCGACGACAGTCGCAGATATCAGGTGGTCCGGATGAAGTATAATCATATTATGGGCATCATCGACAATGCATTGCCCTGTTGCATCGAAATCTCCGGTCAGGTGAATATATGCACCCTGACTGCACGGGCTGTCGAACCAAGACTCTCGCAAGATCACTGCCTTTTTGTGTTTCGTCTTTTCATCCTGAACTAACAGCACCTGTCCTATTTGTTAGCCAGCGACGGCAATCTTATGAGTGTTGGCCACGACAAACCTGCTCTGGCTGAGTGCGCCCTTTCTGAGTGGTATACGTATTCTCCGCAATATCAACAATCAAATATCGTTTGATAGCTTGCCGATTTCTAAGGTTCTAGCTCTGATGTATTTAGCAGAATCCTATGGAAAGTCCCAACTAAGAGCGACGAACGTTGACTGGTCCATTTCTACCTGTCTGCATAGACTGCTCGATAGCCTCCACGTCAAAGTCGTCATCATCAAACTCGTCACCAGAGGATGTTTCCAAAGTCCCCTTGGAAATGCCGTAAAATCCTTTTGTTTCATATGGTCGTTTCTGATCCGGTTCTATACAAGGTTGTTCGTTAGCCAACTGCTTCGCTGAGGCTGTTGGTCCGGGATGAGTCAAGTCTGCCGTTCCATCGCATTCGGCAAGAATATCCTCTATATCGTCAAAGTCATCGTCAAAATCGTCACTGTTCACAGTCTTGTGGACACTGGGCTTCCGGTTGCCCGAACCAGGAGCTACTGCGTTCTGGCCCGAGTCTCCCAAAGTGCTAAGTTGAGGTCGAGGTTGTTCCACAGTAGATTCGACAGTGGCTTTGAGCTTCATTGGATTTGTATACTTGTCTGACCGGGTTGGCTCAAGGAATGGGTCCTCAGAGGCCTCGGCCAAGTCGAGAAAATCCTGATCCAAGTCATCGTCACCGAAGTCAGATGAAGAGGCTCCTACGCCTTCGACTTCGTTTGGTCCTATAAGTGAGTGAGCAACTCCATCGTCATACTCAATTTCTTTCTCTGGCATTTGCGCGGCGGCCATTCTCTCGACGGGAGAATTCGATCGGCTCCACCGCACTTGCTTGCGTTTCGGCACGGGTGAAGAATCCGACATGTCGGTTGGAGCGACAGGGGGCTTTTGCAAGCTTCTCTCGATTTTTTCCAACAAGAAGTTGAGTCTGGAAGATTTCGAATTTCCGGATTCCAGTACATTACTCTTAGATCGAGAGAAAATGCTGCGCCCATTACCAAACTCTTGTCCATTCACTCTTCTCCGTTTTGCTTTGGATGTGGGCCATTCCGCATTGCAACTAACCGACCTCCTCAAGCCAGAAGAATCCCTACTGGTGCCAGCCGAGGCAGGAGTTTGCGGTGAAGATGAGAGAAGGTTAGCTAGGCGAGGAGGAGGAAAGCTTTCTTCAGGATTGATCGAAGCCTTGCCCACATAATTGTTCCACAGGTCGGTTGCGAGATCACTCTGCGGTGTCTTGAGCAGCCCTTGGAAGGATTGCATATCGAAGGACCGTTTCCGTGCGCTCTTCGTGCTCCCACCTAGTGGAGAGCTAGTCGGGGACGAGCTGCGACGCCGTTTCCCTCTCGTTGCGGAAGGCTGAGAGATTGTGTCCGGGTTCGAGCTCGCAGGTACATGTTGCCAGATAACGTGATCTTCTGGCGTGTATTCTTGTCCTGGAGCTCGGCTGAATGCGTCTTCTGCATTGCTAATGAGGTCTGCCAGGGGTATCCTGTTCCCTGGCGTTTGAGGACACTCTTTGGCTGGCTTCGGCTCGTTTGCTTCGCCTTTAGGCTCTTCGTTTTCTGATTCTAATTGCAATGGCTTGACCACCCCATTCAACCAGGAAGTTTGATTTTCCTTGTCTTCGTGACCTGCCTTTAATGGTGACTTCGCAGGTGGCTTTCCTCCATTGTTTGTATGTTGGTTGTTGAACCGGAAGGCATTCAACTTGGAACGGGAATTTGAGGATATCGGGTAGGAGTTCGAGTTTCCAGTCATGGCTCAAGATTCGTTGAAGATTTTAGCTTTCTGTAGGACATCGGTTCATGTCGGCCTGGGACTTCAACGACTTCAGAGGGACACGAGCTGTTGCAATGAGGAGAGTGTCGAATCTACCATTGAGGTAGGGCGTCGGACAAAGGAGAGTTGTTTTCTGATCAAAAGCAGAAGTCCAAGCGTAACATCTGTTCAGACCACGGCTGGTGATTGTCTCGATGTAGTGCATTGCTTGCCTTCGATGAGGAAATGCGATAAGCGGACACTCGAGACGCGTCGCGCGTTGATGGCTCCTGCCTGAGGTGTATACTAGTGGCCTGAAATATCAGGCATAAAGGCGGCGTCTAGATTGCCTCAATAGGGACTAGCGTGGTGACTCCCAGCTCCTGCTCCATCGGCCTTTTGCGGCTTCTTGAACATCAACCGCTGGACACCAAGCACCCCTCCACATACCGCAGCCTCATCAACAGCTGTGAATCGAGCCATTGTTTAATTGAATCCAGGGCGGCTGTCGCCAGTCTATATCCTTCTTTACAGATCTCTGAGGTACCTCCTTAGCATATTTGACAGGGGTCCTTTACCTAGCGTCGCCTCTCGCCAATCAACCGGTCCTTCAACGAGACACTGCCAGAATCCTTTACCATTATCACAATGTCTGCTCGCCCTTTGTCGCAATGCCTTCGTGCTCGCTGCCTTCTCCGCGGACCTCAGAACACTAAGGGCTTCTCGACCCGAAGCACTCTCCGCGCCGCTGACCACGGTGATCACTATGACCCTCCCACCGGATGGCTTTTCGGAGTGAAGCCAGGTCAGAAATATGTGAAGGAAGGCTGGGAAAACATTTGGTACTACGGATTCATTGGCAGTTTGCTCGCTGCTGGCGTTGCATACATTTTCAAGCCCGATACCTCGTACGTTTCAACCCCACGTCCAGCTATCCCATGAGAGGCCTTTCCCTTGTTATGAGCGGCTGTACCGTATCGGCTTGTGTTTTTCTAAGAACAACCTTACTGATTGTCCTCTAGGATACAAACATGGGCTTTGGAGGAGGCCCGACGAAGGCTAGAGGCCGAGGGCATCTTGGAGGACCCTGACAAGGTTCAGCACAAGTGATCGCATTAATCCCGATTTTCCTTGTACACTGTACATAGAGTGATCGGCTATGAAAAGCGCCTTACCACAAGCCTGGTCTGTGATACATATGGCGTATGAGCCCAACTTAGACGACTTGCCTTTTTCAAAGTCTTTGTTCGTTCCTTCATTTCTCTTGTTCCACGCAGAAGGATTCTTGTCGTCGCTGTGTTTCTGAAAGTTTTAAATGAATTTACTCAAGGAATCTTTTCAAGGGAGAAGACATTGACCCTGATAGATCAATGTTGGCTGATGGCCTTTAAAGACGCCTGAGGCGAGCACTATGTAGCGAGTGTTACGCAGTAGCCTTTAACAGGCTCCATGTCTACTGGGTTTTGGATTGAAAATGTCTTAGCAATCAATTCAGGTGCTATACTTCTGGGTATATGTCAGTTCTCCTTAATAAGGGCATCTCTCTCCTGACCTTCTCCAAGAGATTGAGGTCAATCTCCCCGGTAGCGATTTCTGGCTCTCGATAACCGTCTCCGAGTTTCGCCACGATCTCTCCCCAGGGATTAACAATCATCGAGTGGCCATAGCTTCTCCGCTTTTCATTGTGCGGACCAGCCTGAGCCGCAGCGACCACATACGCCTGTGTCTCGATAGCTCTTGCTCGGAGCAATGTTTCCCAATGGGCCTGTCCTGTTGGAACCGTGAAAGCTGATGGATATGTGATGATCTGCGCATTCTGACGTTTCAAGGCTAGACTGATTTCAGGGAAGCGCAGCTGTAAAGCAAGTAGCATGTAAGATTGTGAGCTCTTCTCCATCAGAATCGGGAACTTGGGCCACTAGACTCACGTCGAAGCAAATCGAGAGACCAACACGTCCTAGAGGGGTGTCGAATGGTGACAGAATTTCCATACCCTTTTCAACGCTCCTTGTTACCGCAAAGGTGAGTCGTGCATGCATGCGTTCTACTTAGGGTCTACTTACGCGCTCTCTTTGAGGACCGGCCCATCTTTGATCTCGACATCAAACAAATGGATCTTCTGGTAGCGTTGAGTAATTGTACCCTTATCATCAATCCAGATCAGAGTATTCTTGACTTTGCCGTTCGGCGCCGGTTCATGGATGCCAACGTTGATATGCAGGCTTGCCTGCCGGGCTTCACTCTGGAGACCCTGCACAAACGCACTGTCTTGCACGGATCGCACAAGCGATATGCTCTCTGCTGGCGAAGAGGCAATGTAGTCTGATGCCTCTGGGAGGAATAATACCTGTTCAAGCATTAGGCGATCATGTCTCAAGAGCGCCTGAGCTCCCATGAGAGTGGAGCTAACGTGTACTATACTTTCGCACCAGATGCTACGGCTTTCCGCACCAGTATCTGACACTGAGCCAGGTTTGAAGCCATACTCGCGGTCGAGCACAGTTGCCCAACGGCCTGTTGTGGTTCTCATTAGTAAGTTGGCTTTGAGCTGAAATTGAGGAGTTATTCGACTCTTACTGCAATGGCCATTGTTATATTACAGGCTAGCCTATGATTTCTTCCGGATAGAGAAGTATCTATGTACAATTCAGGAACAACGAGTAATGGGTAGTAGAATGGCCACAGGCAAGAGTTGTTGATACCTAACTGGATATCGATAACGGTCTGATAGCGATATGAGAGGGGATTACCTAAAACCGCCAAGCTCCACCGACCGAGATTCAACGCCGGACCAGACCAACGCAAACGTCAATCACTGCGCTGCGGCTCAGAAATAGACAGTAGTTTGCGCATTACCAGATCTGACTCTGACAGGAATCAGATCACTTTTCACGAAATATGAAGAGCCTACGGAGGGATTTCTCCTCTGATCCGCAGGCCGCTAATGTCACTAGCAAAATCTTCGTCAGGTCCACGAAAAGTGGAAAGGTGCAGAAGATCGTACGTGAGCTTTACCTGAGACAGGATATTCCTTGCTCGTCCAAGTTGTGTTCGCTATGTCCTACAATCGCGCCAGCAGATGCAAATGGGAACAGTAAGTTGTAGTCCCTGGCGTATGCGGAGGTTGATTTCTAATGTGGGATAGTTGCGCCTTTCGTCCTCTCAGAGCAACCCGCTGGCACGAGCGCCTTCCCTCGCGGTCACTACCTCGTCCCTGATACGAATGCACTGCTGAATGGTATGGATCTCTTCGAACATACGGGAGCTTTCTACGACGTTATCATTCTTCAGACGGTCCTCGAGGAGCTCAAGAACCAGTCGCTGCCGCTTTACAACCGCTTGCTTTCTTTGATTAAGACAGACGAAAAACGTTTTTACCTATTCTTCAATGAGTTCAGGTTGGAAACGCACGTGAGAAGAGGTCAGAATGAGTCCATCAATGACAGAAATGATCGGGCAGTACGGGAAGTGGCAAAATGGTACTCTGAGCACCTTCGCAGCACGCTGAAGAAGGGCAAGAAGGAGAAGTCGGTACCAGCGATTGTCGTCATTACAGATGATAAGGAAAACATCCGCAAAGCAAAGGAAGAAGGTGTGACAGCGCTGTCGCTGTCCGACTATGTCTCTGGCTTGGAGGACGCCGACAGGCTACTGGACATGATCAGCGAGTCGAGGGAAGCAAGGGAAGCGAAGGGCGCTCGCGGCGAGCTTTTCTATCCAGAGTATTACTCGATGTCGAAAATTATGACCGGACTGAGAGCTGGCACTCTGCATCAGGGCGTTTTCAACGTCTCGCCTTACAATTACTTGGAAGGTTCTGTGAATGTCGCAGCTTTTGATAAGCCACTCCTCATCCTGGGTCGCGATAATAGCAATCGTGCTATTGCAGGGGACGTTGTTGTCATTGAGGTCTTACCGAAAGATCAGTGGAAGTCACCATCGACGAAACTTGTTGACGAAGAAGCAGTCACGCGGAACGACAATCCCGAGGCGGAAGATAATGAAGAGGTAGTGACAGAAAAGGAGCGGAAGGCCCTGCAGGAAGAGGTGAAGAAGGCGCATGGCAAGAACACTGAAGGAAGGCCGCAACCCACAGCTAAGGTCGTTGGTGTCATCAAGCGAAACTGGCGCCAGTACGTCGGACATGTTGATCAAGGTTCGACGGGTACGTCAGCCAGCTCTGGACGGCGGCAACAGAACGTTTTTGTGTTACCCATGGATAAACGTATTCCAAAGATCCGGGTCCGTACTCGGCAGGCTAGCGACCTGTTGGGCCAGCGGATTTTGGTCACGATCGACGCCTGGGATCGCGATTCTCGGTATCCTACTGGTCATTTCATTCGTTCTCTAGGAGAACTAGAGACCAAAGGAGCAGAGACGGAAGCCCTGCTTCTTGAGTATGACGTGCAGTACAAACCATTCCCAAAAGCCGTTCTGGATTGCCTTCCGTCAGAAGGACACGACTGGAGAGTTCCCGTTGACAAAGAGAATGTGGGTTGGAAAGGACGAAGAGATCTGAGGGATCTTCTGATCTGCAGTATTGATCCTCCTGGATGCCAAGATATCGATGACGCCCTCCACGCGCGGCCTTTGCCTAACGGTAATTTTGAAGTGGGTGTCCATATTGCGGACGTGTCACATTTCGTCAAACCGAACAATGCCATGGACCTGGAGGCTAGCGTCCGTGGAACGACTGTTTACCTAGTCGACAAGCGTATTGACATGCTTCCGCATCTTCTCGGCACGGATCTCTGCTCTCTCAAGCCATACGTCGAGCGCTACGCCTTCTCCGTCCTCTGGGAGATGACTCCGAACGCTGAAGTTGTGTCCGCAGACTTCACCAAGTCCGTTATTCGCTCTCGAGAGGCCTTCAGCTACGAACAGGCACAGATGCGCATCGATGACCCTTCGCAAAATGATGAGCTGACTCAGAGCATGCGCACGCTACTCCATCTGTCGAAGATTCTCCGTCAGAAGCGAATGGACGCAGGAGCGCTGAATCTTGCATCACCAGAAGTTCGAATCGAAACGGACAGTGACGAAGTTGGCGACCCCCTCACGGATGTCAAGACGAAGGCAATGCTTGCAACCAACAGTCTAGTTGAAGAGTTCATGCTTCACGCCAACATCACTGTCGCGGCGAAAATCTACGATAGCTTTTCCCAGACTGCTTTGCTACGTCGGCACGCCACTCCTCCGCCGCAGAACTTTGAGGAGCTCATCAACCAGCTCTCGAAGAAACGCAATCTGGAACTCGATGTCTCGAGCTCGCGAGCCCTCGCTGACTCGCTCGACCGATGCGTCGATCCAGAGAACCCATTCTTTAACACTCTGGTCCGTATCCTTGCCACCAGGTGTATGACATCTGCGGAATACTTTTGTGCGGGTGCACATGCCGAGTCTGAATTCCGCCATTACGGTCTGGCGTCTCCCATCTACACACATTTTACCTCTCCTATCAGACGATATGCGGATTTGCTCGTCCACCGACAGCTCGCATCTGCGATTGGATACGAAGGCGAAGATGGCCGGGCCCAGGTTGAAGGTGTCATGACACGCAACAGGCTCGAGGACATCTGCCGGAATATCAACTACCGGCATCGGAATGCCCAATTCGCCGGCCGTGCTAGCATCGAGTACTACGTTGGACAGGCGCTCAAGGCTCGTGGGGAGAAAATGGCCGCCGATGGCGTTGACGCGGGTATTGAGGAAGAAGGATACGTCATGCGTGTCTTTGAAAACGGCGTGGTTGTCTTCGTTCCCCGTTTTGGAATCGAGGGCGTTGTCCGCCTGGAGGATTTCGTCCTTCCCGGCGAGTCGGCAGTCCGGTCCGTCGAGGAAAGGCGGGAGCTGCTGGTGCGTCGTGAAAGCGATTTTGACGGCGAGGAGTACACGCTCCGTGTTTCGGAGAAGGGACATCCTGAGAAGGAACGTGGCGTTACCGTCGAGCTCTTCCAGCGAGTCAAGGTGAATGTCAGCTCGGTGAAGGAAGAAGGAGGCCGCGGGGCTGGAAAGAGGCGGGTGCGGATACTGATTCTGGGGGCCGGGAACTAAAAGTTTTGAACTTGCACACTACGATGTCGGATGTAAAGAATAGACATAGGGTTAATGGCGTTCAGCGGTACGAACATGCATTTGCGGACGGCTGCTTGATCACTCAAATCTATGATGCTTCCAAGCTATCGGAGTGATGTTGTAAGGACATATTGAAAATCCGATGTAGGGTATCATAATGTGGACTCGAAGCAAAACTCGAGAAACAACAAAGGATATTGCGCATCAATTTACAGTATTTTCTTGCTTTACTGACTGTCACACCCGCTTCAGAGCCACCATTCCACGTAACAAGGTAGAAGGTGTCCAGGGGTTCAGATTCGGCGACTCAGATACGGAGAATGCAGGATCTACCGTTTGATCACGTTTTTCGGTTTCAGCGTCTTTGGCTGGCTCGGCAGAAGGCACACGCCCAACCGCATTATCACCTGCTTTTTGAGTGTCCACTGCAGCGATAGCTTCTTCCTTCGCACGAGCCAAGTCCCCTACTTTCCAGCCTCGGACAATCCAAAGGCACAGGGCACTGCCGATATACATGAAGCCCGTGAAGATCTGCACCCTCAGATACTTCGAATCTGTAGACGTGTTGTCGCGCAGCAATAGGGCGATAGCTTCCGAGACCGTCGTCGGAGGCACAAGCGTCAGCCAGGTAATGCTAAGACCGCTGGGAAGGTCCCGGAGACCGAGAATCTCGGCCGCCACGGGGGTACAAGTAGCCCAGTATGTGCCTGCGACGGTGCCAACGAGGACCGCGAAGAAGGAGACGAGACCCATGCTCCGGGCGAAGACCCAGATCACTAGGCAGAACAGGCCGCAGAGGAACGAGAGGAAAGTGGCGATGTTGATCCGGCCGAGTTTGTCGCTGAACATGCCCACAAAGGGACGGCCGAGACCTTGACCGAGGTTGAGCAAGGCGCTGACGATGCTGCCCTGGTGCGGGGAGAGGCCGACAGAGAGGGCAAAGTTGGCGACGCTGAAGAGAAGCGCGACGTAGCCGAGCATGGTGAAGATGCCCCAGCCTAGGAACAGGAGGAACTCGGGCCGTTTCAGCAGAGGCAGGTGGAAGGCTTTGAAGCGGCTGCCGACGGCCTTGTTGCGGTCTCGAAGGAGATTCGCGCAGACCAGGTTGACCACGCAGGCGATGATGCCGAGAACCCGGAATGTCCAACCTAGACCAAGACGGGGGATCATGGCGCCTACCGCCAGAGACCAGATCAGACCTCCCAGACCCGAGCCGGCGGCGTTGATGCCCATTGCAAGGCTTCTTCGCCGTTGGAACCACTGTGGAGTGATCCCCACGCTGCCAACGAACAGGAAACCCATCCCCCATCCGAAACAGACGCCCTGACTGAGGAAGATGTGCCACTTCTGCGTGGCAAACGAGGATCCAATCAAGGACAGGGTTTCGAAGAAGACGCCTACGTTGAGGACGAACCGCGTTCCGAAGAGGTGGATCAGATGTGTGGCCAGAGGGGCAACGAGGAGGGCACAGGAGATACTCAGACCACCAGTGAAGGCGTATGACAGTGCACTAGTGTTGGGGAAGACATTGTGTGAGAGATAATAAGAAAGAAAGACCCCATAGCTCTACATGGTAAACGATTAGTCCTCATTCCGCCTGACATAGATGGCAGCTAGATATCGTACTTACACTGTTGATGCCCCAAGTGTGCGCATTGATCCAGAATACACAAGCGACACAGACCCATCCATAACCGCCATCAGGTACCTCTTGGGGAATTTTGTGGTCCGGCTCTGCTACTGGTGTTGAGTCATCTGGACACTGTTGACGATCCCGTTTGTATAGAGGGTCCTCAGCAGCCGGATCTCGGTCACAATCTCTTGAACGAATGATATCGATCGGCGTATTATCAGCCATTGCAACTTGGATTGGTGAATTTTACGCAGAGGCAGTTCGACTTGAGTTCCATATGCTTGTCACCACGACCCGAACCTATAAATTAGGAGCGCAGCAAGCAGAATCCGAACTGGGACCCCATGAGTAGTCCGGGGAAGAGAGAACCAGAGATGATCAAAAACAGCATGACCTTAGAAAGAGAGAAATAGGCAGAGACGATATACCTCTCTCTTGGGGTAGAGAAGGAGAAAAGAAACGGTTTGTCATCGGTTTGACACTTTCTAGGAACGGCTCCTTGGCCATACGGTTTCGGCGATCTATCCGACTGTCTAAGCGCCGTCATTGGGTGGATGGCATATGAATCAACCCAGCTAATACAGCTACAATGCCGATTAAGCGGTGCGGAGTCATGGATGCTCTGTACCCTGTACTCCGTAGTCTGTTTCTGTCCTGGAGATTGGACGTTGGAGTTGGGGAATAGACTCGTGGAGTAATTGGTTACCCAGATCAAAATTGACGGGAGATTCTGGGGGAGATGGATCAGAGTGCAAGGTTCAGTGGAAACGTGGTTAAGCATGATTTTCACATCACAATGATGTACTCTAGAGGCAGACATTTTCCCAGTCACATTCATGCCCATTACATCTTTCATCCTCGGGATTCATGTGGTGTAGCAATACTCCGTAGCCACGAGGAGGGCAAATGTCCGAAACACGCTAGACTGGTTCAGGTTTAGAGCCTGAGGTGTCAGCAGCTGACATAAGCACGACCCCGCGTTGCCTCGCGACGGCAAGTTTGACAAGTTTGATATGTTTGACGAGTTTGCATCTTTGTGCCAGGGTTTGTTGTTGTGGTGGTCATAGCTTCCATATCCTATCCCAGGACGGAGGGGATTCATTCATCGCGATAGCATAGCAATAATAATGATACTCATTAATTGCTCTTAATCTACCTAACCATCAGATCTAAGCATATTCTAATCTAACTCATCATAACTTTAGCCTACCTAAAGATCTCTCTAGTTCATTCCATCCCTGCCACTCCAGCCACCGTCTTCGAGCCTATTGGCTCTAATGTGACTCCATAGGTACCTTATCTACTTAGCTCCGTGCTGAGAGTACAACTCATCAGAGAGATCTCCATCTCCATTGAGTCCCTACTGTCGTGTTATGATTCTTCACATCTCAAGAAGCTAGCTCAAGATGATGCATAGACCTCATCTTCCCGGCCATACTAAGGCCAAAGATGGCCAGCGGAAGGTTTCCCCCCCGGGCCCGACTTATATGTCCAGCGATCAGTTCGGTAAGTTTGCATTGCTCGCTGACTCATGACATTCCCGGAAATTGTTGCGGTTTTTGACAGATTGACACCTTTGAGGGTGGCACCGTGGTTGACCTTGAGCTAACAACGTGGCTTAATTTTCAGCAAACTATCTGAAAGACTTGCGAACGAATCGACCAGTCCGTCCGAGTGGATCTAGACCCTTTCCGACAAGAGCAGCCGGATCAGGCTCAACCCCTCGAGAGAATCTCCCTCCTCGGGCGTCGTCGTCAATGTCAATGTATGGACACCCCAGCACCCAGCCTACTGCGCCCGAGGCAGAGCGACCTCGTGCCAGCAGCTCTCTGTCAACCCATCGCCCATTCGACCCACACCTCTCCTTGGGGAGCTCAGCTGGGCGTCCGTTGGTACAGGAACCAAGAACGGTGCCGATACGCAAGAATGTTTCACCGTCGCATGTTTTCACGCGCCCGTCGCCTCCATCTCCCAATGCTGTTTATCGTGAAAGTGGTCAGCGGCGGGTAGAAAAGGAGGAAGCACGCTCCTTGCGGGATGCGCTGGAGGAATTGGACTTGCATGATGAGGTCCGTCTCCATCAGGCTGCACAAGACGAAGCCACGGAGCTAGTCTGGATGCATCAGAACCCCGGTGTGCCATACAAAAACCCATATGCGCCGTATCATAACCCCGACCTGGATAGGTCATCTCAGTCGCCAGAGAGCGCTGGCCGCTCCCACAGCCAAAGTGACAAATCTGGCGGGCCAATGAATAATCATCAACCCACCTCAGAAATTGACTCGGCAAGCAGTCCTACCAAGTCCTCGTCGCCGCGGAAGAACGTCAGAGTCGACTTTGCGTTGCCTGCCGAGGAATCGCCCTCGAAATCTAGCGGCGGCCGGAGCGGTTCTTGTCTTTCGAGATTCGGTAGCGAGTCATCGAAAGGGATCTTCAGAAATCCTCATGACTCGATTTATGAGGAACCCAAAGACCCTCGTGGTCCCGAGGAGGATGGGCGACCGGAATTTTCCAGATCCGACTCATCAGCTCTCAGAGCAAAGCCGCGCAATGCTCTGCCGCGAGGCTCTCGTCCCCTCCCGGGAAGACTAAGCAGTCTTCCGTTCGTTGACAAGTTGGCGCGGTTCGAGCTACATAAGCAACTTCCAACCCGATCAAGAAATCCGGAATATAGGACGAACGATCCACTCCCGCAAGCAGCCCCGGATGAAGACGCAGACAAAGAGCAGGCCGTCCAGGCCGTTCCTACGAAGAACGGGATTGAGATTCGCAGCGAAGACATCAGGGCGGCTACAAGTAAGAAGCTTAGAGATCGAAGCACAAAGCTACCTATGCCCACAGCCGTCAGTAATCGCGCTGGCCGGCCGATCGTGAGCTTCGACCCGGCTTGGAAGCCCACCGAGGCCCAATCCCCGCAAAAGCGTGACAGCCTGAGGCAGGATTCGGCCTCCCCAACACCACCACCGCAGCCTGCTGCACCTACTATTGAAGTATCCGAGCCGCCACCGATACCGGTCATCAATGTTCCGGACGAGAAGGAGCCCACCATTTCGGAGATGGCAGCACCGTCTCAAAAGGAAAGGGGAGGTAGTAGGCCTCTACCAGATCCAGCGAGCACAAAGCACCGCCCGCAATCATCTCCTCAGAAACATGCGCTGTCCTCACAGAAACTCTGGTTGTCAACGTATACGCGCTCTGGAGTACCAACAGCGAAATGCGAGTGCTGCTCGCTTCCCATCGCAGGAAAAATCGTCACAGCCGCGGGGGCTCGCTTTCACCCAGAGTGCTTTGTGTGCCACCATTGCCATACGCCCTTAGAATGTGTGGCCTTTTATCAGGAACCCGATGCCAAGCGCAATGAGCGATTGGCGCAGGCGCCAAGTGACGACGAGGAGGCGCGTGTGTTGCGCTTCTATTGTCATCTGGATTTCCATGAGATGTTCAGCCCCAGGTGCAAGAGCTGCAAGACCCCGATTGAAGGCGAGATTGTCGTGGCATGCGGGGCCGAGTGGCATGTTGGTCATTTTTTCTGTGCCGAATGTGGTGATGTACGTTCTGACCTTGTTAAACACTGGAAGCGAAGCCGACTAATTTCCTTATAGCCCTTCGATTCGAACACTCCTTTTGTGGAAAAGGACGGGTTCGCGTGGTGCCTCCAATGCCATTCTCGGCGCACCGCGCCTCGATGCCTGGGCTGCAAGAAGCCTGTCCTGGAGGATGTTGTGATCAGCGCCATCGGAGGCCAATGGCACGATGAATGCTTCGTCTGTCACGAGTGTGGCGACGGTTTCGGACCCGACGGACGGTATTTCGTGCGAGAGGGCGAGCCCAAGCGAACGGCCAAAGGTCGGATCATTGGGGGTCCGGTCCAGTTGGCTGTATGTGAGCGATGCGAGAGCATCCGACTCAAGGCATCACCCAAGTGATGATGCCTGACCTAGGCTGCGCACAACAGCCTCGCTTCTTCCATCAGCAGTGTCAGCAAATGCGATGTTGTCACTCGCTGCCATTCATGATTACGATCTTGACCCTGCTTTTTTTGATTGATCTTCTGAGATTTTGCCTACTGTGTTTGAGATGAATGCATATGCAAGCAAGCGGGATGTACAGCGATGTGGTATGATTATGCATGGAGCGGGTGCTGTAAGACTGTGTTTTTACTTGGAATCATACTCTGTTGGAGTTCGACAGGAAGCATCTTTTTCTCAGAATAGCATGTTTCAGATCCACCAATATCATTATCAACCGTACCCATTCCGTTTTTTTTCGCAAACGCTTGGTTTATATAGATTACTGCAGTCGAAATGCTCAATGACCAAAGATTCATGCAGGCCATTCAGGATCCGCCTTACGCCGGAAGACAGCCACATACTTATTTCCCTTATTCCGAGCCACCTTCTTCCCTTCCTCTGTAGCCTCCTTCATAACCCGCACACACTCATCCTTCTCCAGCTCCTCCTCGGAAACCCGCTCAAAGAGTTCCTTAACCCCAGCATTCGCACTCGCGCTTGTCTCCCCATTCCCCTCCTCACCACCTGCCTCCACCCCAAAGTGCCTCAGAATCCAATGATGATACTCCTCCACATCGGTAATGGTGTACAGGAGTCCACCGGGCCGCAGAGTGTAGGCGTACTCCGCGTTCAGCGTCTCGGAGATGATCCGGGCCTTGTGCTTGCGGGCCTTGAAGTGCGGGTCTGGAAAGCAAATGAAGATCTTGGAGAGTTGGTGGCGGGAGAAGAAATTGGGGAAGAATTTCATGGTGTTGCTGCGGATTGCGGAGATGTTTTCGTAGCTGCCGGGGACGAGGGTTGTAGGGGTGTGCTCTGTGTCGGTGGAGGGGGAGGGTGACGCTGCATCTGCACCTGCATTTGCGGGTTTCCCATCTGGTTGGGCTTGCTGTTGAGACGGATTTTCTGGCGTTGGTGCAGTCGCAGTCGCAGTCGCAGTCGCAGCCCTGAGCTTATGCTGCTGGGACCGGAGGGCTTGGATGCGCGTTGTCACGTACTCAAGGACCGAGACGCGGATCTCCATGCCTGGTTTCCGCGCTCTGTTAGCATTGCCCTAGCACAGAATGTGTCATGAAGCATCCTACCAACTATCAACGACTCTGGCAGCAGAGGCGCAAGGCCAATGAGCAACCCGCCAAAGCCACACCCGATATCCACGACCTCGACATCCTTCAGGAGGTTCCGGGCACCGGCGAGATTGGTATGCGAGGGGTCCGGATCCACAAAGGTAGGGTAATGCGATGACCAGTCCATATGCGCTGGGCTGAGGGGGCTGTATACACATTAACGACGGATAGTGCCGGTAGAACTTGGTGGTACGTACTACTTCAGCTGGTGGTCCGAGAATGGATTTGCGTGGGCCCGCTGGCGATAGTACTTTTTCTTGGGCAGCTTGATCTCCGCGACATCGCTGGAGCCGGGTTGCGAGGCAGCCTCTGCTGTAGCTTTGCGGTATTCATCGCGCTTTTGGCGTTTGGGCGGGGGTGGTGTCATGGCTGTTATTCTGTGCTGGAACTGACTTGGACGATTTCGGAAAAAGAGGATCCTTTTCAAAAGGGGTTTAGGACCGTGCTGAGCAATTGCAGTCCTTGATAGAGAAATATTCGTGCAATGGCCACAGGTGTGCTGGCGGAGGCGTGGATTATTATTTTTTTCTGCTTAGAGCGGAAGCGTTGACGTCTATCATTAATTATGTCGGAGCAGCTGAGCTTGGCGGAGTGAGACTCGACCTCCGAGGTTTGCAAGTCTACAAAGACAAATGCACAGCCTCAGTTTCTCTCTTCTCTTGCCAAATGTCTGCTCGATAGATTTCATACTCTCCTTTTGAATTAACTGCAAACTAAGATAGAATACCTCACCATCATCCCAACAAGCAATACTCCGTACCGCAATCAACCCCGCATCCGCAGTGTCGGCCTCATGTATGTCAACAGCATACTCCTACAACCACAACCACAACCACAACCCCATACTAACCATATCTCCAGTGTCCCCTTGCATCGAACTCCTTCGGAAACAAAAAGATGTCTCACCCCACAACAACCTTTCAATTCCCATCAACCTACTCCTTCCCCCCCTTCTTCACACCCCAACCCAACAGCACAACCCGCCTCTCCCAGCTCCAGAAATGGTCCTCGCTCATCCAATCCTGGTGCCGTCACCACCGCATCTACCGCCTCTCACTGATCGAAGCGATTGAGAGCCCGCTGTTCCACAACGCTACGCTGCGGAAACGGTTGAGTCTGAGCGAGGCAAGGGCCGTACTGGACTGGATGGCCAGACCCGAAGAGGAAGGGGGTGGTGGGAGGCGGGCTGAATGGATCGATGGGGGCAGTAAGTCGCTGGCCTGGGTTTGGTGGAGGAGACCAGAGGAGTGGGCGGGGATTGTGGCGGATTGGGTGGGTGATTCCTCTCCTATTTTGTTGGCTAGTTGATGAAGGCTTGCTGACGGGTTGGTTCTAGGTGGAAGCGACAGGGCAGAAGAATGTTGTCTTGACGGTGTACGAGCTGCTGGAGGGAGAGGCTACAATGTCACAAGGTATGGTTATGGCTTCTGTCTTCTCGTAAGTCGTCGGTCAGACTCCCCGCTGATTTCTTCCAGAATGGCATGGAATGGATGCAGACGTGATGCTCAAATCTCTGAACGTTCTTGTAAAACGCGGCAAGGCCCAGGTTTTCGGCAGCGAAGGCCAGGAAGGTGTCAAGTTTTTCTAAACCGAACTCGTCTTGAAACGCTAAAGTCAAACTTCTGAGCTCCAAGGCTATTTGCACAGAGCTGCTAAGCGCGGCATCAAATCTGTCCGCAAAGAAGAAATTACAAATACACATAAAGATCCAGACATTGATCCATCATAACCATGTACAAGGTAAGCTTTCGAGAAACACCGGGTATGCAGCAAACCTAACACCAAAACCAGACGAACGCCCTGTCTACTTGTCGTCCTGGTCAATCATGTCTTCTTTTAGCTCATATCCCTCAGCCGTACGCAGCTCCTGAGACATGGCAATGTCCAGAAGCCAGTCTACACGCACGATTCGTGGTGTCTTGCTCATGCTCTGTGCCAACTGTGAAAATCGTGGCCAGAGCTTCTGATGTTCAGGCGATACACTGCTAAGAAGGTAAACGTCTCTGCGATTGGGGCCACTCTCAGTTGAGCTATCATCTTCGCTCTCTTCCCGCTGCGCGTGGTAGGAGACCCTTCCGCGGAAAAGGATGCAGGTCCCTCCATTGATATCTACAATGGACTTGAACGCTTCAAATCCTCCACGGATGGTCTCAACGCAGTAGATTTGATAGCCCTGCAGGAGCCTGTTCTTGTTCTTCTTCGCCTTGGTCCTCGCTTCTTCAAGAGAGAAGCCAAATCTCTTTTCGGCGGCTTTGTCCACCAAGGGGTAGTCGTCAGGGTTCAGAAGCTCATTCTTGTTGAGACACTCTGTGATGAAATCAATGTTCACAATCGCAGGACCGTATGCCAGCGCATTGACGAATTTGGGGGTTCGCAATATAGACGGGGCGGCGAGATGCGTGCATCTTCGTGCATCTTGCACAACCATGATTCCAAGGTCACGAAGTTGTCGCTGATTTATTAGCTCTTTGCCAAACATGTGCGGGTGCATATAGTTAAACTATAGGAATTGGCAACATACCTTGTCTGCATCCTCTTTCTTCAGGTTGCCCACCCACTTCTGATATCCAGTAATAAGAAGGTGCATGGCAATAGGAGGTTTCGACTTCTTCTGTCTCTTCGCCTCCGTCGCATTGTCTTCGTCGCTTTCTTCCTGCGGCTCCACTGATCTGCGTTTCTTAGCGTTGTTCAGCACGACTCTGTCCTCGTCGCTCTTTCTTCGCCCGCCATAGATCACACCTCCGACTCGCTTCTTCTCCTTCTCATACAAGGCGATATCTGGTGCGAGTTCCTGGAGTCGATTGAAAGCTGCTTCCTTTGACTTGCGACTGCTCGTTGAAGATGGTGTGTCGTTCTCTTTGCCCTCCGACTCCAACCGAGCACGTGCGGGCGTCTGCGGCTTCTTGTTTTCTGAAATTTTACGTGACTTATCAGCTGCTCGTGGCGTCGCATTTCTGGTCGCCGAAACTTCATTCTCAGCATCGACGGTCTTGGCTTTAGGTGGTTGCATAGCGCTTGATGTCTTTCCGGCCTCAGCATTCTGGTCCTTGGTCTGCATTGCTCGTCGAGGGCTATCTGATGATTGAGTTGTGCTCTCCAACGAAGAAAAGAAGTGGCTCTCTAGCACAGATCTGTCCAGGCGTGTCTGACCGACAACCTCGCCTAGATTCGTCCGCTTAGGAAAGTGAGTATAGCGAGGATCAGATACCGGTTGCATCTTCCATTTAGCGTAGCTTTCCTCCAACCAGAGGTGATTCACAACGTGCAAACCCCATTCTTTCGCAGCAGTGCATTTCTCACTGTTGCCGTGGGCGGTCACTAGGTGCGTGTTTTCCTGCTTTAGTGTCTTGGTACACTCTGCGCCCGTGGCTGCGATCAAATTCTCCAGGTAGATTCTCGCTTCGCCAACATAATTCGACAGACTGATTTTGAGCCCTTTGAACTCGGGTATTCCTGAGCGCGTTATGGGGTAGTGTAACAACCGTCGTAGCGGCGAGGTCCATGCATTGTAGGTGATCATATGATAGAGCCATGAGAGGTTTCCAACGTCCTTATTCAATCTTGACGCCAAGCGATAACCGAATCCAGATCTGTAACGGCAGATGTAGATATCTGCTTCCGAGACGTCCGACGTCACACGGCCGCCAGCGTCCCTGATCACCTCGACAATCGTGTTATATAAATGTATGCCGATCCCAAGATCTGTCGAAAGCATGATCTTTTTCCCTTGGAAGACATCGAGGTTTGGCCGTGGGTGAGAGGTGACGATAGACGCTGGTAGGTTGGTCGGCTCAAGCGTCGAGGCTCCAATGATATCGCGACTTTCCGACGATCGAATCGGCGCGTCTGTGCCTGCGCGGAGGATTTCAGGATCTGGAAGAGTATATGGGCGCTCGTCGATTCTCCTTCCTAGTTTAAGGCAGTCATCGAACCTTTCAAATAAGGTCAATCAGAATACAATCAAATATGGCAGGGTAACCACGGCCATACCAGTGAGGAAGCACAATCTTGATGTTCAGCTTTCTAGAAGTGACCACTCGCGCCTTATCGGAATCCACAGTCAGATCGACCAAGTGAGTGACCATACCGGACATTCTGGGGCTGTAGAGACCACCTTTGGCCAAAACGCCGCCAATGATCGCATCCTTATCGCCTTCTGGAATATCACCGCACGTAACGACAACATCGTTCAAGAATAGCCTAGGATCCGGGTTGTACTGTCGCGGGTTGGCCAACTTTCTCTTCGCTAGAGACGCCTGCACCCATTGCGGTTTGACGACGGGAATGAGAGCATCATTAGCTGCATCGAATGCAGGAAAGTCCACAGTATTTGATATCAGGTGCGTGAATTCTACTGTAAGGGGTGGGAAGTCTGCTGGCGGCTCGTAGATCACGGTTTCCCCGCCATGCGCCTCGAATGTTGACGCGAGCTGGTTTGCGAAGTCAGTCGGAACGAAAGTTGTACAGTGGACGGTATCAAGAAGAACGTAGGCGTACCTGATGAGCCGTATCAGGGCTGAGGTCTTTGGAGCAAATAATACAGACTTTGCATTGGTCGAAGAGCTGGAACTCTTTGTCGCGGCCTGCCATGGCGGAAATGGAGACCGCAGTCGGTAGAAAACGTTGGCTTTTCCTGTGACTCTTGCTTGTTTATTGATTCTTCTGACAGACAACCAGTACCAGTACCGAGACAAAGAGGTAGGTAAAGCAGAATTGGGTGCAGCATCTGAAGTTGTTCTCTGTAATTGAGAATCTGCAAATGATGCCTGAGGGATGCGACGCGCCGACGCGAGGCATCACGACGCCATGTCACGTGGTTTGGGCACGAATGCGATACATCATTTTCTTTCAGAAGGCAACACGAGTATCAATGATATCAGGCATAGTTTAATTGTCATATTATTGGTTGCCTTGCAATGCTACACCATCATTAATTCAGGGTTCCGACTTCGAGCCCAGTATTCGAGTGTGCTTTCTGCGACAGACTGCACATTTATCAGCTACGGCGACTGCGAGGACGGGAACATCTAGATGGATTATGAGAATCTTCAAGTGATTTGGCGAATAGTCACAAGAATATGATATTAACAAAATGCTTTATTATTACCGTCGAACTGGCCCGAATTACCTAACTAAGCCCACTCCAATCGCGATTTAATGCACCGGCAGTTGAGCTGATCCGCCTTGTCACGTTTTGTCCCCATCGGCGCTTCAGGTTCCTCGGCTCATCCCCCGAACCCCGGCAAGACCCCAAGAATGATCATGATAGTGGGGACCCCGGTTTATCGATATGATAGGATTAATACTGATGTTCACCGATCTCTCTCTCTCTCTCTGCTCTTTTCTACTTCTCATATTTCATTCTTTGTGGGATGATTCAAAATGTCTTCGTCTTCGTCTTCAATATCAGGGCCCTTCCGCATCGTGGAACATGTGGTAGAATGCCAACATATCAGGGAATATCCCGGAGCCACTGCGAACGAACAAGAAGATGAACTGCATCTGGCTGTAAAGCAATACATTCCTCTCGATAACCCTGAACCCCAGCCTGGCGATGTGACCATACTGGCCGCTCACGCCAATGGCTTCCCAAAGGTATATCTATGTCTGCATATTGACCCGATCACATGTGAGCGCAAACTGAAATTCGTGACCAGGAGCTGTATGAACCACTCTGGGAGGAGATATATGCGCGCTCCAAAGCCAATGGGTTCCGCATTCGAAGTATCTGGATGGCAGATGTGGCGCATCAAGGACAAAGCAGCGTGCTCAATGAGGATCTCCTAGGAAATGACCGTGCGTCGATGATTATCGAGCCAACCTCTCGAACGTGGTAGACTGACTAGTCCACGCCAACAGCTAGCTGGTTTGATCACCCCAGAGATCTACTTCATCTCGTCAATGTCAAACGCAAGGAAATGCCTCGTCCAATCGTCGGAATCGGCCACAGCATGGGCGGCGCTCACCTGTGAGTCTACCTGACTCAACCCTTGAAAAGCCCATGCAAGCGATTCTAACGCTATCACAGTGCGCAGCTATGCCTAATGCACCCCCGACTCATTCACACCCTGGTCCTACTGGACCCAGTCATCCAACGACAAACCACCCAGCTCGACCCGCTACACCTGTTCAAAGACCAGCACGTCATCGCCAAAACCACCCAACTCTCCACCTACCGCCGAGACAAATGGCCGTCCCGCAAAGCCGCCGCAGAAGCCTTCAAGAAGAACCCCTTCTACCAAACCTGGGACCCCCGCGTCCTCGACCGCTGGATCAGATACGGTCTCCGAGACCTCCCTACTGCCATCCACCCACTAGACGAGACCCCAGTCACCAAAGGCAGTGACCGACCAGTCACGCTCACGACGACTCTCCACCAGGAGGTCTTCACCTTCTCACGGCCCAACTACGACGGGCCCCCGGGCAAAAATGTTCCGATTAACCGGGTAACGCATCCCGATTTGAACCCCAAGCACGTCGGCTCGTTTCCTTTCTATCGACCGGAGCCATCTCGTGTCTTCGCTCAGCTTGAGCACCTCCGTCCGAGCGTGCTGTATATCTTCGGCGGCAAGTCGGATATGTGTCTCCCCGACATGATGGCCGATAAGATGAAGAATACGGGCACGGGGCTTGGCGGCAGTGGCGGTGCGGCCGAGGGGCGTGTGCGCGACGTATATCTCGAGAAATACGGTCACTTGCTCGCCCAAGAAGCGCCCATTGAGTGCGGCGAGGCGGCGAGCCGATGGCTCGGCAAAGAATTGGAGCGATGGAAGGCGGAGGAGCAAGCCTTCCGAGAGCAGTGGAGCAAGAAATCGAAGATTGAGAAAGTGACTATCGATTCACGGTGGAAGGAGCATGTACCTGCGCCCGTGAGGCCTAAGAAGGATTCCCAGGCCAAGTTATAAGAGGCCCGTTTGTTCCTATATAGCCATGCTACAACAAGAGTGCCGGTACAATAGACCAATACACAAAGGATTATGTACGAGACATCAATGCTACAGAGAGTTGCCTCGAAATCTGTCAAGCGACTTTCCTGGTTTTCATATACTTCTTTTCTCGTCTATGAAAAAAATAACCTTGAGGGATTTCAGGGCAGACTTCTATAAGCTAGATTCCAATGATCTACATAGATCGGTAATAGCAAGTTGAGCAAGTTGAGCACGTCTGGAGCGCCTGGCTCCACGTGTCGCAGATAATGGGGCAGGCTCGAGTCAAAAGGACATATAGGCTAGTTAAATCAGATTGACTTCTTGGCCAGTCGACTTCCGGAGTCAGTACTGATGCGGACAACTTCTGGGAAGTTCCAAAAATGAGGCCACCACAGGTGATATTCCTCTTGCCGTTTGTTCAGGCAATGGCGCAGCCAGATACCCCAGATGATATATAGGTAAGCTCCAGTACCAGTCATGAGATGCCTGCAAGAATCCATTAGCAAAAAAGCCCGAGTACTGGATTAAACTAAACATACCACCAACCATGGCCTTCAAGGAAAATACCCCAAGGAAGACCGACTGCCCGACGCCATCCGCGGATCGTAGAGCAAAAGTGGTTATCCAGGCTCCAAATGAGGAATCCACCCAGAAACATACTTAATCCATAGGCAACCATGAACCACATGGTTTTGAGAGTCTTCAAGTCCCTGACATTCTCGTGATGCTGATGTTCCTTGGAAGGCACCGGGAGACCTTTCTTTTCACGAGCCAGCCGATCCTCCTCAGTCGAGTGCCGCCAAGATGGGCGAAGTGTCACTTCCATGGTGTACATACTTCTCAACACGACGACGGTTGTCAAGAGCGCATACGCATTCTGATGGAATACAGGATCCTGAAGGTAATGGTAGTAAAGGGTGATAAAGACGGCCAAACTCGTCAAGGCGATAGCGAGAAAAATACGGAAGCCGAGGGGTCTCAAGTAAGAAAATGAGGCATAGCACATCAAGCAGGTCGTGTAGATCATCGAGAGCTCATCAACTAATTGCATCGGATCTAGTACGCGGTCAGCAATATCCGCACATATCCTTCTTAGTGACTGGACTTGCATTTGAGAGTCGAGTGGAATAGGAAACTTCCAGTTCCAACTAAGAGATATCCATAGAAAGCTACCTGGAAGATTGTATCATGTCCATATCGCCGACAGTTCCGGATGCCCTTGAGTCCAAGCCACATAAACAAGAGATTTGTCAGACTATTGACAATTTCGGCGGAGTAGATGGTCGCATAGTAGTCCTATATTTCAGAACATGTGAGCATAAAATCAGGATCCCAGCCGAAGTCATACACACCTCTTCGCACCAGTTCAATGTTGATGTGACAGGGCTCCAATATCCAGCCTTGGAAGGCGGATATGGAATGAAGGTTGGGAAAGACCACTGAGGCATAGTGGCTCTCCGCGGCGGGTATCGAACAAACCTCTTTTAGAATGCGCCGAGTAAATAGGAGGATACGAATGTCATCGCAGCGAAGGGGGGAAAGAAGGGATGTAAAAGAAAGAAAGAAAAGAAATATCTTAGTCATGTAGGTAGACAGATTATTCCTTCCCTTGGATCAGGTAGCCTTCCTATCCAGGAACCTACCGATGCTTTCATGCAAACCCGTGACGTCGATTTATTACACAAATCAGCGGGACCCATCAATGTGAACTCCGATTTGCAGCGTGCCGATTGGCCAGACCACTACTCCGCAGGCTGCCGAACCCGGTGGAAGGCGTATCGTCATGAAATTACCGGTGTTCGTTCAGTTTCTTTGTCCACTGAAAGGTACCAGAGCTATCGGCATATGATCGGGTATTTTTCGCTATGGATGCTGTTTGCAGCTTATGCATTCTTCATGTGCCAGTACCTTGGTGTTATTGGCATTCTTCAGAGGCTGACGTTGAGCAACGGACGCCGCGGGCACCGAGTGCTTACAGGTAGCAGCTATAACATGCAGGGAATCCTCTGACAGCATGCCTAAGGCGTCTGCCTGCTTACTCCGAATAATGAGTGTGATGCATGGAATGCTTGCAGAGAATATCTCAATGAGGTCAGGGCGTTGATTAGGAGTTTAATGGGTTCCAAATCTATCTCCTCGTCTATGAACATATCCTTCTCAGACAACATGGATGGACATAACCTAGCACTCCCCTGGGTATCTATGTAGATACCTTAGGCAGCTCTGTATCGTCGTATTGTACCCCGTATGGTCAGGTAAGGTACCTTAAGACATAAGGTATCCATGGATCCAGATGTGGCTGGTGCTTGGCCAGCTGCGGCCAATCACAATGCAACCAGCCTGAAACCTGATGACTTCACCGATAGTCGTGCATCTGAGATGAAAATGCTGGAGGCCCTTTGCGCCCAGAAAGGCAAAGTCAAAGCCTACTTCATAATTGGGAAGTGACTCAGCTTTCATCCTCAATAGACTTTCGTCGCACTTTCTTAGCATTGAATTCTCTTTGAAATGTGGTCATTGTATATTCTGTTGTGAATCAACCGCTGAGCGGTCTCTGAGTTCTGGTTCATATATGGTGCTGGAGCGCCATTGTTAACACGAATGAACTGAAGCAATTGTGCCTATATCGTCAACCTTAATAGAAGATAGCGAGCTCCCGGGGCGAACCTGTGGAACTCCTGCAAGGGAAATGTCGAATAATGCTACTTACGCAGTGACGCCGGTGAAGACCACCTCAACATGTAAGAACGTTGTGGCTATCTATCTTTGAACAAGACTATCAAACTCAAGCTCTCAGCGCTGCCACAAGATTTGCTAACGCTTTCTTCCTGTTCAGCGTCCAAAACCACATTCCATTTCGTTGCCGGTCTCTGCTCTGGCCTGACCTCCTCCATTCTTCTACAACCCGCAGACCTCCTCAAGACCCGCGTACAACAGTCTCAGAAAACTGCTTCTCTCCTACCTACCATCAAGACGATTCTCTCCTCTCCTCACCCCATCCGCAGTCTATGGCGTGGTACACTTCCTTCAGCCCTTCGAACCGGCTTTGGCTCAGCTCTATATTTCACAAGTCTGAATGCTTTACGTCAAGGCTTAGCGCAGACAAAAGCTCCCATGGCCATCGCCGCTTCGAGCAGTGATGGAAAAGGTCTTACTTCGTCGTCTGCACTACCCAAATTGTCTAACTGGGGCAATCTAGCCACCGGCGCCGTTGCACGTACAGCTGCGGGTTTCGTGATGATGCCAGTCACCGTGCTCAAGGTACGCTATGAATCGGATTATTATGCGTATCGCAGTCTTTACAGTGCGGGGCGCGATATCGTCCGTACAGAGGGTGTACGTGGCCTATTTTCAGGATTCGGAGCGACTGCCGCACGGGATGCCCCGTATGCCGGACTTTATGTTCTTTTCTATGAGCAATTGAAACGACGCCTAGCCTCAGTTGCAAGCTCAGAGCAGTCAGAGCAGCCACTCAAATCAACTTCGTCTTCATCCATCAACTTCGTTTCTGGTGGAATGGCTGCCGGCCTGGCCACGGCGATCACCAACCCTTTTGATGCTGTCAAAACCCGTCTGCAGCTCATGCCTGGTAAATACGGGAACATGATGCACGCCGTCCGGTTGATGATCCGCGAGGATGGCATCCGAAGTCTGTTTGGTGGTTTAGGGCTTCGCATTACGAGAAAGGCACTCAGCTCGGCACTTGCTTGGACCGTCTATGAGGAGCTGATTCTGCGCGCTGAGGAACACTGGGCTGAGAAGAACAAGATCAACTTATGATGATAACTTCATTGCCTTAACTTGCTATACATTTCCTTGTTTTACACTTATCAGAGCTTGTGCAGCGGTTTGCAGGGAACTACGGGAAATGAGAACATGGCTCCTCTCCTGATATTGAGCTTCTTGTATGATATATAACGATGAACATCCCATCTCAACCTCCAGAAAAAAAAAGGAAAAAGAAAAAGAACCCCCAAAACCGAGTACAACCGAGTACGACTTGGCGGCTAATAATGTATCATATATCATCAGACATCGCAAAGACCAATGGGAGTTGAGGTTGGGCATTCAATGTGAAGAGATCTGATGTCGTTCCAATATACCACCCAAAAAATCAACTGGCTAATTATGTGAAAATCCATGCCCTCCGGTTGGGGCTCTTCTTGCGCACAAGGAACATCTTGTCTTTCTTGCGATCATTGACTTTGAGTTCGGTTAGGGTGCTTGAGGTCTCAGTCACGAGCTTGCCTTCGCGTAGTCGCCGTGTGTGAGCGAATAGCTCTTCCTGGAAATCTTCAGATATCCATTGCTTGATGATGATGTAGTTGCTGTCGAGCTATGGGGAAAGGAAGGTCAGTATGGCGCCGTCTTGGACTTGGAGGTAGACAGATGACTTACCTCATCCCAATCCCAAGGCAGGCGATAAGCAATCAGTGTGTCTGGGAGGATATACTTGCGGTGGACCTGCAATCAATGGTGTTAGCGCTCACGCAATAGCCCAGCCCGCTGAATCCATATCACTTACCTTGATCCACGTTGTCTTGTGGTGCTCAATCTCCTTCTCCTTCTCTTTTTCCTTTTCCTTTTCTTTCTCCTTCTCCTTTTCGCCTTCTTTTTTGTCTTCCTTGTCTTTCTTCTTCTCCTCTTCCTTGGGTGGATTCTTCTTTTTGTTGATGATGGCCTCAATCTCTGCCTCGGTGTAGCCAAACTCCATCTTTAGTCGGGCCCTGAACTCGCGGTCTTGTCTCTCCTTCTCCTCCCGCTCAGCAATGCGCCTCCGCTCTTCGGCGAGCTTCCATTCATCGATAGCAGCCTGCTTCATGGCCGCCTCCTTCTTATCACGTTCCATCTTCTCGAGCAGCTGCCTTGCTTGCTCATCGCGAAGTTCCTTCTTAATACGCTCGCGCTCTTCCTCTTCCTCAATCTTGCGCTGAAGCTCCTTAAGTTTCTCCTCGCGCAGCTTGGCCCGCACTTCTTCCTGCTCCGCAGCCTGACGCTCCGCCTCTTCGAATTTCCGTAGCTTGAAGCGGAACTCGGCATGCCGCTGTTCTTCCTCCATGCGCTGCTTCTTCTCAAACCGCTCAAGTCGTCGGAGACGTTCGCTGATCTCATCTTCATACCAGTCTTCTTCTTCTTTAACAAGTTGAGTCTGGTTATTCTCATGTTCACCGCGCCGGCGAGCAAGCTCCCGCTCTAGACGTTCGATCTCCATCTGCTGCTTCATGAGCTCGAGGTCCTGGCGTGCATCGTTCCTCTCGAGCATCCGTTGGTCGATCACCAGTTCGTAGTCACGTTGCTGACGAGGAGAGGCCTCATGGCGGGGAGAAGCCTCGCGAGACACGCTGGTGCTAGCAACAGGTCGACGATGCTTTCGGAGAGTAGTTTCATCCTCCGACTCGATATCGACAATGGTTGTGTCCTGCTGACGCTGCTTGCGGTTCTTGTTGGCACTCCTGTTGGTGCTCTTGTTGCGAGAGTCGTTTTTGATATCAACGATTACTGCGGGAGGAGGAGGAGGCTGCTGATATTCACGGCGGCGCCGACCGCCCGTTGAAGCGGAGCGATGGATACGGACGTCTTCATGCAAGACAGGACTGAGATAGCTCGTACTGCTAAATTCAGGTTCATAGCGATGACGAGACACAGAACGTCTTCTGACTGCGTGTCTGTGGCGGGGAATGTCCATGGAGACGTCCGACTCTGAGTAGTCCGACTCAGACTCAGTGACTAATCGTGCACGACGAGGCATCTTGATCAGGGCGTGCTTTCTTCTAGGAATTTGATTATATATGTGATCTTATTGTGTGGTCCAGGCTGACAAGGCTGAATTAAGTCGGGTATAAAAGCGGGGTGGCGCAGGAATCTATATATGAGGGGGCCCGTGAGGGGAGGGGGCCGGCAGCTGTATAGAGTTGGAGGGAGTTGGGAGGAAGGACAAGAGAATAGGAGGGAATAAGAGATGAAAAGAAGAGATGAAAGAAGAAATAGGACTGACCTCGAAATCGAGCAGACGAACCAGCCACACCCTTCGTAAAAGCGGGAACGGCCAGCGCTATCAGACGAGGATGAATGGATGATGACATTCAGCTGAAGTGGGGGAGGAAGCAGGTTTAGGTATCACAGGAGACCTGAGAGATCATCGCCAACGGTCGGACTATGCGAGAGGGGCCTAACTAAATTTGTTTCCCTTTTGCTTAACACTATGGATTTGACAATGATTGAAAGACTGCTCCAAGTATCTCCCCTCGAGATCTAGTGCGCGTGCACCTTTCCGACTGCACATTCTCATTGTAGGTGAAACGCCAACTGGCGGCTGTAGAAACAATCGACCAAAACGATCTAGATGGGATTAACTTCGACTCGATGCCAATCTTCCATTTTCACTGCTTTAGGCGCCTAATCACTTCTAGTACAATACCCAGATCCGTATCCAATAATCCATCATTCT